TACACTGTGAACTATTTCACTTTAACTTTCGTAGTAGTGAGCTTCTGTAGTTTTGCCATCCACTTGCAAATAGACTAGTGAGCACCACAACTAACTTAGTGTTCTTTGTTTCTTTCTTTTGGGTTGTTTAAACAATTTGATCCTAATTTATCAGTGTGGAATTCAGAATTATTCCTCTTTTACTAGGAAGTATATTTTTTAAAAGGTTTTGGATCTGGATCGAAGAATTTTATCGAGCGTGAGATCCACTCGCGTGAGATATTTCTCTCCCAAGCGACTAAGCAAGTTTTTTCCGTCCGATCTTCTTTGAGGCTTTCTCCAGCCGCCGGCGCTTGCCGATGGTGGCGCGAGAGGGCCTCCTCGTGTTTGGTTTATGTGTATATCTCTTCATCGTTGTGTTTAGGTGTTCTTTGAAGGTTTCAGAGGATGTAGTTTGATTGAGGTTTTGTTTCGATGGGTTGAGATTTAGATCGGTGCGTGAGGTTAGGGGTGTGGTTCGGGTGTGATCTGGGCTCGTAGGGAAGGCTCGTAGTGAAGGTTGAGGCGTATCTAAAGTGGTGGTGCACTAGCCTTTGGTCTCACGAGATACCTTTGCGTGTTAGATCCTCCTCTTTCCAGGCCTTGCTCTCCTCGTCGGTGGTGGTGATCTCTTGCTCTTCGGACGCCTTTCTTCAGTTCTGGGTTCTCGGTATAGTATCATCTGGACTTGATCTCGGTTTGTAGGTTATTAGCAATTTTGGATTGGTTTTGGATCAATTGGACAGAATATTGTGATGTTTTCGGTTCTTCTCCTTGTTAGGCTTCAAGAATGATCGAATAGAGGTGGTTTTTGTGGTGGATTTGTGAATGCCTCTATTTTGGTTTGAAGCTTCGGTTCTAGTCATGGATTAAGGTCCATGTGGTTAGGCAAGAGTCATTTGTACTTGTCTTTGGATGTTTTGGCTTTGTGTCTTTGTTACAACAGTTGTAGGCTTCACTTTCGCCTTCCCGATGGCTCGATCCTTTAACTTAGCGAAGGAGGTTTTTCGGTTGGAGATTGGGGAGTGTTGCGGAGTTTGGAGGAGTTTTCTTTGACGCAGGATTCGTTTCCAACCTTTGGTTTTGTGGTCGTTTTAACTATGATCTGCATCTGTTTCGATGGGGTTTTTAGTGTGGGATGGAGAGTTGGAGTACGTGGAATCGGTAGCGCTCAATTACATTGGACTTCGGGGGCCTCTTGAGGGTGCGGCATAGATGCTCTCGCTACGATCGCGTGCTTGTCTTCAGCTCTAGTTCCAGTGGTAAGCTTTTGCCTCAAATTACCGTGACTAAAGCTTGTGATGAAAGAGATCAATGGTTGGAAGCGCAAGTAGTGAAGACTCGCTACAACTAGTTTGTTTTAACTTGCATTCTGTTTTTGATGTAATTTGTAGTAAAGGATTGGTCTTTTGATCCTATGGTCATCACTTTCAAATGTTTCGATCCTTGATCTCTTTTTGGGATTGTATTTTGTATGTGGTTTATCCCAACTTGATGTTTAATATATGTGATCTTCGTATGAAAAAAAAAGGTTTTGGATATGTTCCTGTGAATGCTCAGTTGTCCACTATCTTGCACATTTTTCCACACGTAAGAAAAAAAAATCAATTTTGTAAAAAAAAAATAATTTTCCCCCTTGATATTGGGTTAAACCAAAAAAATTGTTCGTAAAGTAAAACACTACGAGGTAAATTCTTAGAATCTCATTTGTAGAA